TCACCCCTAGTGTATCTAGCAGACTGCTCATTACTCTCTATAACTCATGCATTTCATATATTTTAGTAATTAACACTGTACTTCACACAATGTCTTGAGGTGGCCTTCTTCCGTATTTACCAGAGTTCAAGGGATACTTCCACTCTGTAAGTGTTCTTTTTTGTTGTTGTTGCTGTTACCAGGAGGACTGAGAACTACCTACTCTGTTGTCATAGGCTTTTTAAAAAAATGATCTATTAAGACTCTTAATCATTAGTTTCCAAACTTTGCTGTACATTGGAACCAAGTGGTAGTCTTTTAAATCTGCCAATGCTTGATTTCTGCCTTCAGACCTTTGGCTGAATTCCTAAGCATCAATTTGTTTTTGAAAAGTCCACAGGCAATATTAATGGGCAGCAAAGCTTGGGAACCACTTCCTTAACTATCTAAAAGTTGAAGAGGTGGTATATAAAAATTACCTTGGGACATATAGAATAAAAATTAGCTAACAAAGAAATAATTTGATTAATTCCAAATCTCTTTGGGCAGAGGCCAATGGTATAAATTTTGTTTGTAGATTATACAGTTATTTTCTGTATTTCTAGTTGCTTAACTTCTATAACATGAAAACTTACCACTGTGACAGAACACAGAAGCTATTTTGAGGATTATCATAATTTTTTGTTGAGACTCATGACTTCAAAAGTGAATTAATCATTCTCATGAAGAAAATCTGGGTGCTATAGCAAAATGTGGTGAAGAAATCAGATATGGTGCTCTGCTACAGATAGAATAGTGTCCAGGGTCTTACAGATAAGAGCCCACAACACAGAGAATCCAGGATAAATAAACCCCTCAGGGCCAACAAGGAGAGTAGAGATACCAGGAGGATTAGGGGAGGGTGAGGGGAGAAATGGGGAATTGATTACAAGGATCAATCTGGAACCCCATCCTAGGGGGACGAATAACAGAAAAGTGGGTGAGGGGTGACAGAGGACGGTGTAAGATACAGAAATAATCATCTATAACTTATCAAGGGTTCATGAGGGAGGGCAGGTGGGGGAGGGAGGAGGAAGAAATGGGGAGCTGATGTCAGGGCCTCAAGTGGGGAGAGAATGCTTTGAAAATGATGATGGCGGCATATATGCAAATGCGCTTGACACACTGGATGAATGTATGGATTGTGATAAGAGATGTAAGAGCCCCCAAAAAAGTATTAGAGAGAAAAAAAAGAACAGAATTGAGAGTACAAGGAGCATCGGAGAAGGTAGGGGGAGGATGGGAGGAAGGGGAACCAATCATAATGATCTATGCATAACTCCCACCCCCACCACCCAGGGGGATGAACAATAGACGTGTGCATGGGTGAAAGGAGACAGTGGTTAGTGTAAGACATGAAATCAATAAGTTATCAAGGGGTCACAAGGGTGGGGGGAAGGGAGGAGGGAAAAAAGGGAGCTGATACCAAGGGCTCAAATAGAAACTAAATGTTTAGAAAATGATGATGGCAACATATGTACAAATAAGCTTGAAACAGTTGATGTATAGAATATTATAAGAGCTATAAGAGCCCGGAATAAAATGATTTTTTTAATGTGAAAAAAAAAAAAGATGCAGAAGCCATCTAAGTGAGGCATCAATTAAGTCTAGATGGAAGAAACTTGCCAGCCTGTGTGATCCAAGGATTGGAAATAATAAAGTCCAAATCTGGAGGAAGGAAGGGTATCAGAGCTTAAATTCTGAACATCTGGTTAGCAGAAGGCTCTAGATGACAGGGGAAGCCCAAAACCCATTTTCAGGGTGTCCACATGGATTGAGCCTCCTGGGAGTCCCCTCTGACAATAGCCCAGGGATGTGACTAGCCTTGCTACCAGACAGCTTTGTAAAGTTGATTATGGCACACAGAGTTAGGTCAAAATGTAATACCTTATCATTTAATCTCGCTTTTGACCCATTTTACAGTTGTTTCTTTCTTTCTTTTTGACCTTTTAAAAAATTGAGGCTTTTTTCTGTTTTGTCATTGTTGTTGCTTTTGTTTCTTGATTTTGTTTTGTATGATTTTCTGGGTATGAAATCCAGAATAGATATGGATCAATAGATCCACAATAGATCTATAGAGACAGTAACTGACTGGATGAATAGTTACCAAGGAGCATGGCAGGGGAGGTTGGAGGAAAATAAGGAGCTAACAAGTATAAGCACAAGAAAGAAGAAAATGTTCTGAAACTGATTGTGGTGATGATTGCACAAGTATTCTAAATATGATTAAACAATTAAATTGTATATTATATGCCAACGTGGTAGTTGTTAATTTGAGAGGATTACGAGTGAAGGGGTGGAGTTTACTTTTCAATCAGGTCATAGCCAATGAGGCCTCTCTGTGGGCATGGCCTTCTCCTGAGGATTCTGGGAACTCCTGTATTCCTCCTTGGAGGTGGGAGACACTCTCCCTCTTTAGGCTCACTCCCTGGGAGACATTGCATCTAACAAGACACATGGAAATATGCTAGTGCCCTGAGATGGAAAGCCATATGGAGACCCCTGCCAGTGCTGAGATGCTTACAATGTCACTGGATCCACAAGATTTCCCAACGACTGGCCTGTGATCTTCCTGCATTTGGCATCATTGCATGTGTTTCAAGAGTCTGAAGAGGAATTTATAGATTGGTTTTGGACATATGGGCTAACATTGGACTTATAGACTTGATCTGGAATGGGCTAGGATGTTTTTCCTCAATAGTCAATTGCTCTTATATATAAAGCTCTTTCTTTTTTTTTAATTAAATCATTTTATTGGGAGCTCATACAGCTCTTCTCACAATCCACACATACATCCATTGTGTCAAGCACATTTGTACATTTGTTTCCCTCATCATTCTCAAAACATTTGCTTTCCACTTGAGCCTCTGGCATCCCTCCCCGCTCCTTCCTCCCCAATGAACCCTTGATAATTTATAAATTATTATTATTTTGTCATATCTTACATGGTTCGACATCTCCCTTCACCCACTTCTACGCTGTCCATCCCCCAGGGAGGAGGTTTTATGTAGATTCTTGTAATTGGTTCACCTTTTCTCCCTCACCTTCCCTCTACCCTTCCAGTATCGCCATTCTCACCACTGGTCCTGAGGGGTTCACCTGGCCCGGATTCCCTATGTTTCCAGTTCCTATCTGTACCAGTGTACATCCTCCAGTCCAGCCGGGTTTGTAAGGTAGAATTTGGATCATGACAGTGGGGTGGGGAAGGAAACATTTAAGAACTAGAGGAAAGTTGTATGTTTCATCGTTGCTACACTGCACCCTGACTGGTTCATCTCCTCCCTGTGACCCTTCTGTAAGGGGGTGTCCAGTTGCTTACAGATGTACTTTGGGTCCCCACTCTGCACTCCCCTTCATTCACAAAGACATGATTTTTTTGTTCTTTGATGCCTGATACCTGATCCCTTTAACACCTCGTGATCGCACAGGCTGGTATGCTTCTTCTATGTGGGTTTTGTTGTTTCTCAGCTAGATGGCCGCTTGTTTATCTTTAAGCCTTTAAGACCCCAGACTCTATATCTTTTGATAGCCGGGCACCATCACCTTTCTTCACCACATTTGCTTATGCACCCACTTTGTCTTCAGTGATCAGTTGGTCAGCACCACCTCCTTACCCCCGCCTCCCCCTCTCCCGTGTCCCCCTGGAACCGTTGGTCCCCTTGTTTTCTCCTCCAGACTATTCATCCAGTCTATCTTATCTAGATAGATCTGCAGAGATAATAATATGCATCAAAAACCAAGCCATAGCAAGATAGGCTATCAGTGAGAACACAGTGATGGCAACAAAAAAGGAAACCAATTACCCATAGAAGAATAAATTAATTAAAAGAAAAAAATTTTAAACAGAAAGAAAAACCTGTAAGTAGATCAAGGTCTGATTTTTGATCTCTAGGCATGCCCTTCAGTCAGGACCGATGGGGTGCCATGCTCTGCCCCAGAGTCTGTCCTTTGTACTCCCTCGGGGGCTCTCTGCTCTGCTCCCACGGTTGCTCTGCCGCATGCTTTTAGTGCTTTGCCTCAGTGTCTCAGGGTCAGTCTGGGCCAGTCCCGACAATGAGTCTCCAGTGTTGTCCCCCTTAGAGCCTGGGGCCATCAAGGGATGGCGTGTCTCGTGGTGGGATCAGCCATATTGTCCACTCTGTCCATTGGCTGTTCAGAGTGGGGATGTCGTCCTCCAGGCCTGGTGGGTCAGGATGTGCTCCACTCTCTTCCTCCCCCTAAGTGCTCCCATTTGCTCTGATCAGACATGCCCCTCTCCCCTAGCAGCAGCTTCAGTGCCCCCTCTCAAGTAAATTCTTCTGGGGGGAGGGACAGTTGTCCCCATAGCTGGCATGGGGGCCGAGCCTTCCGGGCCCTCCACTGGCTCCCCACTCCTTGCCAACAAGCTGTATTCGTCTGGCACTGGCTTTAAATCTGGTGACACTCTAACTCTTGATGGAAATAGGAAGCTTTCTGTTTCTCTCAAATTCCTACCTTTTAGGACTGATAATTTTGATATAAAATTTGTAGATATCATATGCTATGATGTCTAAATATCTTTTGCCCCTAATTTTCATAGTCCTAATAAAGTTAGAATTATTTTCATTTTATAGTTCAGGAGCATTTTAATAATTTGCCTACGTTCACACATCCAGTGAGTAGCTCAGACAAAATACAGAGCCAGGTCTGTCTGCTTACAAAGTTCAGGCATTTTCCAAGGCAAAATCATGTCAATTAAGCAATATCTAAGATCACACTGAGTTAGAGTCCCTCCATTATTTTTGGAATAATTCCTCTATATCTTGGTCAGGTTCCACTCTATTGAAGGCAATAGTGGATTTCATCAGTTTGTGTCCGGGAAGGGTTGTGAAATCAGGGAGGATTTTAGATTCGAGATCATCTGGAATTGCATCAGGGCTTTAGCTACTCGCGTCTGATCCAACTCTGATTTCATGAACAAAACTAGGCTGACCAATTTAATGAAGTGCTTTTGGGTCTTGCAGTTCTTACAACGGGGAAGATGGCGAAGCTGATCCCTTTCATCCTCGTCACCACCGCTTTGGCCATGGGCCAGGAAAGCAGGGTGAGCTAACTGCAAAATGATATTTATAATGCTGGCTTTGATCTGACCTTTCTTAATGTTGCAGAAAAGTCTATAGCAACTCGTTACTGGAAAAAATTAAGGGAAAAAAGAAATAGGTTTGTGTAGACATCTGACACATAGTACGTACTTCAAAAAAATTTTAAGTTGAAATCAACTTTCACAACAAATAAATTCTTTTGAATTCACTAGGAATAATGAGTTGGTTTTATAGGAGAAGTTTTAAACTCTCAGTAGTAGTTGACTTCAGGCTTTCCAATATTGAACACTACTCGGGTAAACTATATAGATTTATGTATTTAACTCCCAGTCAGGAGTTAAAAGAGAAAAATAAATAAGTTCTGGGAGAAAGAAAACTCTTAAGTTTTAAATAACTTTATTAAAATATTGTATGTAGTCTCTTGTAAAGATGGAACATGCTTGACCTGTAAGCCCTTCATTATTTTAAAAGGTCACTGTTTCATAATTTCACAGCCAATTCTCCACTATTGAGAGCAAGATCAGAAAATATCCTTGTCACTTATTTTTTAGATTGGTGATGATTCAAGGGTAAAATGACCAGATTTAAAGTGGGACATCATTGACCTGGAGGTGGGGGTTCTTGATTAAAAATTTGGTCTATATGGACCAAATAGACCGTTCCCTAACTTGTGCATTCTTTCAAACAATCGGGACTTTTTTAAAACGCCAAAAAACAGGACTATCCCGCCAAAAGCGGTACGTCTGGTCACCTTATTCAAGGGATCAGCAAGTAACTCAGAGAAGCTAAATTAAGGAGCAGAGAATAGAGGGTAACAGGGTAAAATGATAAAGAAGGATGACCAATTACCATCAAATCAATTCCAATTCATGGTGACCCCGGGTGTGTTAGAACTGTGCTCCATATGATTTTCAATGGCCATTTTCCGGGAATAGACCACCAGGGCTTTCTTCCAAGGTTTGTCTGAGTGGACTCAAATTTCCAACAAGAAATATTCCTAAAGGAAAAACTTAAAGAATCAGTGACTTGGACAATGAAATTGGAAGGAGAGGGTGAGAGGGAGCCTCGGGCACACTTCTCTATTCTCTTACTCTATGCCTTTCAGTTTTGAAGCGTGACCTTTATAGTCCTTCATATGAATGTAATGCATGTTTTCTTTATTGGGAAGGCAGTAACAAACAAAAAGAAAGCCAACTCTATTGCCCTCCAGTGGTTTGGGACTCATAGCAACCCCATAGGACAGAGTAGAACTGTCCGCTAGGATATCGAAGGTTGTAAATCTTTACAGAGGCAGACGGCTCATCTTTCCCTCAAGATCAGCTGGTGGGTTCAGGGTTTAAACCATAGATTCTCCAGTTAGCAACTTAGTCCGTTAACTGCTATACCTCCAGGGGTCTGGGGGAACACAGTACATCCTCATATTTATGGAATGAGTACAAAGTAGTAAAGGCAGGTATAGGAAACTTTGAAAATACAAATCAAGAAATATACCTAGATTTAAGCAAATGACTTCAAAGCACTAATATATGTATATAAGATAATTGAGGGTTTCAAAAGTAAACATTTGTACTTCTGAGAGGGGTCATGATGTGAACAGCAAATAGGATTTTCAAAGTGAAAAACTGGTGAAATAGCAACCATGTTCCTTTAGCCTCCTTTTCACTACTCCTGGTTCTTTGGGAGAGAGATGGCGCTGTCTGCTCCTGTCAAGGTTCATAATTCCAGGAACCCTGTCTAGGGGTTGCTAAGAGTAAGGACTGACTCAACAGCAGTGGGCTGGGTGTTTTGGTTTTGAGCCTCGTGACTGTTAAGGAGCCCTGATGGTGGAATGAGTTAAGCTCTGGACGGCTCACCCAAAGGTCAGAGTTGCAAACCTACCAGCCATGCCATGTGAAAGAGACGAGGCGACCTGCTTGTGTAAGACTCACAAGCCGGAAACCCCAGGGAGCCGTTGTGCTGTCTGAGAGGGTTGCTCAGCGTAGGAACCATTGTGAGGACAGAGCAGGAGCGGGCAGTGTTTCATTCTGTTGTACACCGTGGTGCTGTGAGGCGGAACCAACTTGATGGCACCTAACAAACACAATCTTTACAGGAGCCAACTGTCTTCTCTCCCTCGAAGAAACCCTGGGTGGGTTTGCGACCCCCAACATCAGGGTAGCAGCTGAGTGCTGAACTATTGCACCCCCAGGCAGTTGTCTTGGGGTTGGAAGGATCTGAAGTAGTATCCCTTGTGCAAACCGGCATCTCTTATAGATGCTTACAGAGTTAAATGATATTTTTAACATCTACTAATGCCCAAAAGATGATTCCAAATCTCATTTATCTTAGGAATGGTCATATTAGAGTGTCATTAACATATGTAAAGCCCTTTGCCTTTCTGAGAATACTCAGGCAGTATCATGTAGAAGTCAGAGCATAAACCTCCAACTGGACGCTGGGTGCCCCCTGGGTGACCTTGAACAAGTTCTTTCAACAGGATTGAACCCATTCCTTCCTCGTAGAATTTTCATGAACATTGAATGAAACAATGTCTATAAAGCCCTGCGTATGTTCATTCTGATTGGATTATGTTGCCTTATTTCCTTAGTTCAGGAGCTTTAGGATGAGCCATCCTCTCTTATTCTCCCAGGACTAAATAATGTAGGATTTAAAGTCCCTTTTTGGTTGAAAAGAGTTCCAGAATAAGCGGTTGGGGTAAAAACTGGAACACTTGGTGAGTCCAGTTTACTGGGAGGACTGACCGACCGTCCGTGAACATCCCGCCTGCAGGCTCTCGAGGACTGTCTCCAGGAGCAGGTGCGCCTCAGGGCCCAGGTGCACGTGCTCGAGACCCGAGTGAAACTGCAACAGGTCAAGATTGCTCGCCTTTTGCATGAGAAGGAAGTCCAATTCCTGGATAGAGGGGAGGAGAACAGTGTCATTGACCTCGGAGGCAAGAGACAATACGCAGGTGGGAATTTATTCTGACTAAATATTTTCATAATTTTTATCATCCACACTTGTATAGTGATGTGGGGCTAGCACTGATTCACTCTGGGATTGGCCAAAGAGCTGTTCTTATTCCATCAATAAGCAAAATGAAGCACTATATTAATTATAATCTCTTCTACATACTTGCCTTTCTACGATTTTGATAAGAACCCCACTACCATCAAGTCAAGCGTGACTCATAGAAACCCTATCCAGGGTTTCTGAGGCTGTAGCTTTTTAAAAAAATCATTTTATTGTGGACTCTTACAGCTACTATAACAATCCATAAATCAATCACATCAATCAAACTTGTACATATGTTGCCATCATCATTTTCTTTTCTGCTTTTAAAAATCATTTTATTGGGGGCTCCGACAGCTCCTCTCACAATCCATACTTGTATCCATCGTGTCAAGCACACCGTACACATGCTGCCAAGGCTGCCACTTCTAATGGAAGCAGATAGCTTCAACTTTCTCCCGTGGAGCAGCTGGTGGATTTGAACCGCAGATCTTGCACTTGGAAGTCCAATATTTACCTGACAGCACCACTCTAGGTGATATTTAATATAAATGTTAAATACCAAAGGATGTCTTTAGCTTAATAAAGCATCAAGGTGAGAGATGGTTCAAATACAAGTATGCAAATAGCAAGAAACAATTGTATAATTTTAGAGTTGAACGTTGTCTGTTTATCTATCTCTTCTTGTTACATTTATGAAGGGTTCCTTCTGCTTTAGAGTAAGGCCATAGGATCAAAAGGTCAGGAAAGGGGAAAAGTCAGAATAATCGAGTAAAGAGTAGTTTTTATGTTTGCATTGTATCATGTGATAATTTTTCGTTGGATTATGCTTGTATTTCCCCCTGGAAATAAAATAATCTTGAAATTATAAACATAATATCCCTATGTGTTCCTATATGTATTATCCTTTTATTTACTATAGATGACTACCATATGACTTCCATCAGACACAAAAGATATATATTTTTAAGCAAGTAAACACTTATTGTCAGCAACAGAAAGGATAACGTCCAGAGCACTCTTTTTTTAGCTGTTTGAGCACGGGAGTCCTTGGATGGTACAAACATTTCATGTGCTGGCTGCTAACATAAAGGCTGTGAGCTCAAATACACCTAGGCGCTTCTTGGAAGAACCACCTGCTGATCAAGTTCTGAAGAGTCAGCCGTTGGAAACCCTATGGAGCCCAGCTCCATATTGATGATCAGACAGAAAGCCTTCAACATTGTTCTTTTACCTTAGCCTTACCATGATGTAAAACCCAAACCAAACTCTCTGCCGACTCACCGTGACCCTGTCGGACAGAGTCACACTGGCCCTGTGAGTGCCTGAGAGGAGAAGGGAGTAGAAAGCCCCAGTCTTCATGGGAGCAGAAAGCCCCATTTTTCTCCCATGGAGCAGCTGAGGTTTACAAACTGCTGGCCTTGCAGTTAGCAGCCCAATGTGTAACTACCGTGGAGCGTCAAAAACCTCAGGAAAATTTTTCATTGTATTTCAGTTCCACCTTTCCATAAACTTTTTGAAGGCCCACTTGTATTATAAAATTTAAAAATTCTTTTTGGTCTATTTGGTCATTTAAATAGACACCTCAAGGAATTGGCTCATGCATTTGTGGAAAGTTTCAAGTCCGTAGGTCATACCAATAGGCTGGAGACTTCCGCTGGTTCATGGATTCGGGGAGGCTGGCAAATCCAATTGTGTAGGTCACATGGCAGGTGGAGTCTTCCTCAGCCCTGTGTCCCAATAGCCAGAGCTCAGGCAACAAGAAGAGTGCAGATGTGAGCAAGTTCCCACAAAATATCTACTTGTCGTCTGAAAGCAGACTGCACCTTAAGAAATTCCCTTTACAACAATCATATTGATGAAATTATATTAGATTACATTGTACGGTGATTCCATTGCATTGCCTTAGATTACACACAGAACAACAACTCTTCTAATGCTTTGTACAAACACTGGGAACCACAGCCACGCCAAGTTGACACATAAAATTAACCATCACAGTTACGTTCCAACTAAACGCAACTTGTTCCAATTTCTTTAAAGCATCCTGTTCTCTGGAGTGTTTAGAAATTTTGCTCCTTTTTCTGTCTGGAAGAGTCTTCTTTATGCTACGCCGCTAACTGGCACTGGGTTGACTCCTTCAGATATCAGTATAGCCTTTCCTTCTTCCAAGAGATGTTTCCTGACCTCAAAGCCTGGATTAGCTAACACTTAGGAGCATTCCCTTTTATCTTTCTTATCACCTGCTACATCTTACCATCTTTTCTTGTTACATTTATCCAGTACATTCTTATCATATTGCCAATGCATACTTAATTGATGATCTTTTCTACTAAACAGTTGAGTTTATTGTTGTAGCTTCAGCATGTAACATGGTGACTAGCACATGGCAAATGCTCAATAAGGCTTTTATTGTAGTTTTAAATGTAATTCAGAGAGGAGAGCAGATGGAAGAGAATGAGAGCAAATATGTAAAAAAGACTCAGGGGGTCAGACATATATGCTATTTGACAGGAAGGCAACAGGTTGTTCATTCAAGGGATGAGCATATGGGCATGTGACTCCAGAGCCAGGTAGACTACAGGAGTTTGGACTCAGGCATGAGGAGGTAATAGGTGCAAGAGAGGCTCCATTGTCCAAATTCCAAACCACACCCACGATCCAGGGTATTTCTTAAAGCACAATTGGAACAGGTTATCAACATAGATTCAAAGACCACATCACTGGCAAGAGGCAGACCATCGGGTGTTTGCGCCTGGGATTGAGTAAGCAGTATGGGAAGCCTGGGCTCTCTGTGCTAAGAGTGCTGAGTTACAGACCTTAGGAAACAAGAGGTCACCAAGAAGTAAGGCAAGAAAGTAGTCAGTAGGAAATTTGAGCACTAGGCAGAGCAACCCTGACTGTGTAAACCGATTGGATGGGCAAGTCCTAGACAATAATTGCATTGTGTATAAGTGCGTATGTGTGCATACAGGGGCTTCAAACCTGCACGGAAAAATGAATTTTAAAGATAATGGAATTTTCCCACAAAGTTGTGTTTGTTTGTTTAATCACAGAAAGAATACTTTTTGAGTCCTAGGACTTTGGGTGGCATAGTGGTTACCTGTTGGTTATGATCTCAATTTACTCACTGCCGTAATGTCAATTCTGATTCTTGGAGACTCTACAGTGCAGGATAGAACTGCCCCCGCGGGTTTCCAAGACTGCAATTCTTTATAAGAGTAAAAAGCCGTGTCTTTCTATGTGCCTCTATTTCTTTCACGTTCTTCATAACCACCAGCCATTCTTTGGGAGAAAGGGCTTTCTATTCCCGTAAAGAGTTTCAGGGAAGCCCAGGGGGGTGGTTCTAACTGTCCTATAGGGTCGCTATCAGTCAGAATCGGCTCAATGGCAGTGAGTACCTAAAAAGATAGACCGTACCATGTCCATCAAAATCGGCTTCCTGGAGCAACCGGTTAAGGGGTGTTTTATAGACAGGGCTTTGGAAAAGGGGTCTTCTGAAGCAGTCTGGCTCCAGATGGATGGTCGACCCTCTGCACGTCTGTTTCAACAGCTTAAGGAAGATCCAGAAGTCAATATTCTTCATCAATGGTGCAAGCAGGAAAGAGAGGAGAGGAAGGATAAACTATAAACTATAAATACTTTATATTGTATTTGAATTGTATTTTATTTTATTTTGGTAGAGAGTCTACCAAAGCTAACACTCAATAAATAAAATAAATAGTAACTTATGTAAATTCCATAGACCATATAATCTATATAATCCACATAAATAACATAATTTATATAAAACATTAAAATATGTAATGAATAGCTTACCCCAAAATTTATATTTTTATGTCTCTAAAGAAATTCCTATGTAAGATCTGTAGAAATATAAATTTCTTTGTTCTTCATTACAAGGCACTATTGTAATTTCTAAATTTGTTTCTGAATTCTAATTCATCTCACAGTCAAAACACCTAATTACACACAAGCTAGTAATTTGTGCAAGCAATGCACAAATCACATGATTTTTATACAGCATATGATTAAAATGTATGCTTTGGGGTGTTTTTTTTTGGCATTTGAGTGCTATTGAAATACATGCCTAAGTTAAAAGATTACAGTACCAAGTTGACATTAATTAGAGACATCACAACAATCTGTGCAGCACAACATCTATTCAGCCAGCTGGATATACCACTGGATAAGCAATAACCCCTTCTGCAGGACCGCGGCCCCCCACCCCCACCCCCCACCCCCGTCTTCATGAGACATTCTCTTGAACCGGTTTGTATCACTAAGACAGGGACTCTAAACCCTGGTTTTAAAGTCCACTGCCCATCTCACTAGCTGGGACCTTTGGGCAAGTTACTTAACTTATCTCAATATACTTACACTGCTAGTGAGCTAATTCTGACTCCCGGCGACTCCATGGAGCAGGGCAGAACTGCCCCTGAGGGTTTCCAAGACTGTAACTCTTCCCCAGAAAGCTTTGTCTTTCTATGGGCTGCGTATTCCTCATCTATAAAATGGTTGGTGATAAACTAGGTCTTCCTTGCTGTGAAGGTTGTGAGTTAATACACGTCACACGAGTACGGTGGCAGTTAGCATAAAGAAGTGCTCCAAGAGTGTCACCTATTGACATTACAGTCACCTGTCTCCATGTTTTCAGAGACACCCCTGTGATTTTTGAATGTTCAAAAAATATAAACATAATGTTTATATTATTATGAATATGGAGATTTCAGCCAACCTTTTCTAACAATTCTTGAATGCCAATTCTTAAATTTGTTTATTTTTTCCTTCTCCTCCAGAAGAAAATGTCCTACAAGTTAAGACCTAGAAGGAAGTTTCCAATTTAAAAGAACCAATACCAAAAATGTTCTGTGCCAGTCGCAAAATATTTTGATTACCAAAATAGGATCCTCTCAAAAAGCGAGCACCTATAAGGAACACTTGGGTTCCTGAATCTCAAAACATTAAGTATACTCATAAAACCAATAAAACCTAAATCTAATATTACAAAGATGAACAAATCACAAAAGCAGGATAACTGATTTAAACCTCGTGATGTCTGTACACAGTTGCTAAGGTTCCCTATTTATTTTTTCTCTTGAATTCCATTGCCTATCTCACTTACTTGTTGTGTAATATATTCTATTTGTAACACACCCCACTAAGATGGACAGCTAAATAGAGACAAATTTCTCAGCAAAACAATGGAAATGGAAAAACAAAACTTGCTGCCACTGAGTCGATTCCAACTTATCCCTCAAGACAGGTTGGAACTACTCCTGAGGGTTTTGAGACTGTGATTCTGTACTGGAGTGGAAAGCCTCGTTTTTTTCTGCCACCAGAGAGGCTGGAAGTTTCAAACGGCTGACCTTGTGGTTAACAGTCCATTGAGAAACCACCGCGCCACCAAGATATGGAGCAGGATTGAAAATGTTTTTATTTTTTTTAAATCTTTTTATTGGGGGCTCGTACTTTTTTTGTGTGTGATTATTTGTTGTTTTTTTAAGTCGTTTTATTAGGGGCTCATACAACTCTTATCACAATCGATACATACATCAATTGTGTAAAGCTCATTTGTACATTCATTGCCCTCATCATTCTCAAAACATTTGCTCTCCACTTAAGCCCCTAGCATCGGGTCCTCATTTTTTCCCCCTCCCTCCCCACTACCCAACCCTCATATACCCCTGATGAAAATATTTTAAAATAATAGGATCATCCAATCAGGAAGAGAAAATCTTGAGAAGGAAAGTCCCTGTGGTAGATATGTAATCGTTTGTCAATTAGAGGATTCAGAGTGTAGGGGTGGAGTCTAACTTGTCAATCAGATCATAGCCAATGAGGCCTCTGTGTGGGCATGGCCTTCTCCTGAGAATTCTGGCAACTCCCTGTACGCCCTCGTTGGAGGCGGGAGACACTTCTCTCTCTGTCACTCCCTGGGAGACATTGCAGCTGACAAGACACATGGAACTACGCTAGTGCCCTAAGTTGAAGAAGCAACATGGACTTACCCTGATGCAACCAGACCTCTGAAGTTGTAGTAGCCATGGAGAGACCCCTGCCAGCGCTGAGATGTTTCCAATGCCACTGGATCCAAAGACTTTCTACCTGTGATTGTCCTGCATTCGGCATCATTGCATGTGTTTCGTGATTCTGAAGAGGACTTTATAGATTGGTATTGGACATAAGGGCTAATATCGGACTTATGGACTTGATCTGGAGTGGGCTGGGATGTTTTCTCAATGTTCAATTGCTCTTGTATACAAATCTCCTTCTTATACACATATGTGTGTCCATGGACTTGTTTCTCTAGTCTACCCAGACTAACACAGTCTCAAAATGATAAGGGCAAAATGTGAACAGGGACCATGGTCAAATATAGCATTCACTCACCAGTCTGTGCCTGGGTGGTCTTGAAACCACCCCTGCCCTGCATTTCTGTGCTCTCCTTAGAGCTAAACCAGCGCTTCCTGAGCATGCAGACAAGAATACTGTCCACTGTGCCTGTTCCCCAAATCTGCATAACTTCCATGATACCTAATGAATATTAATTTTCTCAGAACTCAAGTGTTTCAAGGAATAGTTTTAACTGATGATATTACCACTTGGTGACAAATTGGCAGCTAGGTTTCTTGGATGATCAAGGAAATACCACAACTGAGAAAAATACAGGGACTAGTAGAAGCTTGTTCCCTGGACATCTAAGAAAGTGGACACCGTTAGACATTTCAGTGACATGTCTGGTCAGAGTAGGGAGCTATGAGACTCTAATAAGAAAATTACTATTTGGGGTTCATTTCCAGATGCTCAAAATGACACAGAATGCTCTAAACCAAGATAAACCATTTTAAAGTATTAGGTTGGTGCTTTATTTCTACTTACATCCGCTTTTGTAAAAGAGATAAATTGCCTTCTGTTGGATAAAGCAATACATTCTACTCAAGTGTACTGTGATTAACTGAACATATATGATGTTTAAAATTGTTGTCCACAAAAATAGAAGCAAAAAACTTACTCATTGACCACACAAAGGAAGATTTACGGGATGCCAAATAAGGTAATTTCCCCATGATCATACTAGGAGTTGTCTTGGGGTTCTAGTGCTGCGGTCATAGTGGGTGGATATAACAGGCAGACGTATTTTCTCACAGTTTAGGAGGCTAGAAGTCCAAGTTCAGAACACTGGCTCTGGAGAAAGGCCATCTCTCTTGTGACAGCTCTGGAGGAAGTCCCTCCTTTCTTCAGCTTCTGCTTCCTGGTTCCTTGATGATCTCCATGCGTCTTAGCATCAACCTAACCCCATCTTCACTCTGCTTCCATATTTAATTTCTTTTATATCTCTTATGAGATGGCCTCAAGACACAATCTAAACCAACCCAGTCTCGCTAATGTAATAAAAGCAGCCCACTTCCAAATGGGATTGAGGTATAGAAGTTAGGATTTGCAACACATATTTTGAGGGGACGCAATCCAACCCATAACAAGGAGTCAGATGACCAATAGGAAAGGAAATAAGACGTTCTTAATATTTACTGGAACATGTCTAAGATGCAGTTTTAAGAAACTGATTATCTCCACTGTGTGTTTACCGCTCTCAAGAGACACACCATAAATTGCACATTATCTTGTTTTGCAAACAGATTGTTCAGAGGTGTTCAATGATGGCTACAAACGCAGTGGATTTTACAAAATTAAACCCCAAGAGAGTGCAGAAGAATTCTCTGCTTATTGTGATATGTCTGATGGAGGAGGATGGACAGTAATTCAGAGACGATCAGGTGGCAGCGAAAACTTTAACAGGTGTGCTAAGCAGTGGAACAAGGATTTTGCAGTAGTGCATGTGATATTTGTAATCATCTAACTTTTAAGTGACATACTAATCTATATTGACCTACCAGAATTTCACTCTCTCTAAATGAGAACTCATTAACTAATTAAGGAAATATTGCACTCGGGGGTGGCAGGTACTTTGTGTACTGTAAGATCACCTTTGGAATTTTGCTAAAATCAGCCTTGTCTTTTATTTTTAAGAGATTGGAATGACTATAAAAATGGCTTTGGAGATTTTGTCAAAAAAAATGGGGAATATTGGCTTGGAAACAAAAATCTTCATTTATTGACCACACAAGGTAAGGTTTACATGATGCCAAACTTATTTAAAATACAGTAAAAGCAATGCTACTATATTTTTTACTAAATCACAGGTAATGAAATTCATTCAGTTACTATTATACTTTGCAAGTGTCAGTAATTTGTTTGGGGCAATAAATCCCTTTATAAATTTGGTTCCTTTGATTAAGGCTAGAGGAAAAGAAATTTGATCTAAGACCCAGGAAGGAGAGAGAGAGCATTTGTTTTCTCATATATATGCTTTTTTTTTCCCCAGAAAGGAAAAATGAATGTCATAATCATTCTATTTTGTACATTGAATATTTAGATCATATGTACTATGCCAGTGATTGATCGCCACATCACTGCTGTGTAACAAGCCACTTCACAACATAATCATTAAGAACAATCACCATTTATTCCTTTCCACATGTCTACATGTTGCCTGGTGGTTCCGTGCGCCTCATGTTGGACATCTCAATGGGGCAGCTCAGCTCTGTCCCACATGGACTCTCATCGTCCAGCTTAGATTTAAGGAAGGAGGAAAGTGCCCATTACAAATAATAAAGAACAGAGCTATCTGTGTTTCCATAGTCACAGTAGTCCAGAGGATAATCCAGGGCTGCTAATTGGCCTTTGAAGATTACAGAGACTTGCTATTTGCACACTTTCTTTGCTTTGGATGACAGGTCTTAGCCCTGCAGACAGTTTGCCTTAGCAAACATGCATTATTGAAAGTTTTGCCTGTAAAGACTGGCTAGACCAGAGGAGGTACACTGGTACAGATAGGAACTGAAAATACAGGGAATCCAGGACGGATGAGCCCTATAGGACCAGTGGTATGAGTGGCAAAACAGGGAGGGTAAAGGGAGAATGGGTAGGGAAGAAGGAACCGACTACATGGAACTGTGTGTGACCTCCTCCCTGGGGGACAGACAACCGAAAAGTGGATGAAGGGAGACGTCGGACAGGGCAAGATATGACAAAATACCCATTTATAAACTATCAAGGGCTCATGCGGGAGGGGGCGAGCGGGGAGGAGGGGAAAAATGAGGACCTAATGTCGGGGGTTTGAATGGAGAGAAAATGTTTTGAGAAACGATGTACAAATGCGCTTTACACAATTGATGTGTGTATGGATTGGGATAACAGTTGTATGAGCCCCTAATAAAATGTTTAAAAAAAAAAAAAGAAAGTTTTGCCTGTGTCTAACCTTCATTGCTTTCTAAAGTGTTCAATTACCTAAGTTTTTAACTTGCATAAATGAACAACCCATCTACTTTAGTCTAAAAAGCTTTCCTCTATATGTGTATTTTCTTTCTCTCAGTAATATTTTAAAAACGATACCATTGGCTACATTAATGATCTATAATTATGGGGCTGTTTGAAGACATCAGAATAATACCTAGAGAGGACAGGTAATCCTAGAAGCCTAATATTGTCTTTGTTTATCTTTCTGATCAGAGTCCTCTGCATTTGTATTAAATTTCTCTTCTTCCAAGGTACTTATTATCCTAAAGTTAAATGTTCCATGACAGATATATTACATTTATCACATTAGCTTCTGTTTCTTTGGCACGTTAATTTTTATCTAGTGTTTTTATTTTTTAATGGAGACTAAAAAGTCTTCCAGAAGCCATCTTTCTAAATATTTTAAATCCAAACTTCGCGTCTTTCAAATTTTTACCATATGCTTATACTCCCATGTGAACATTGTCAATAAACCAGCATCCATTCACGTTTTCATAGTGACTCTCTTGGGGACTCACCGGGGCCCTGAAGGCCACAGTAGAACTGGCCCTGTGGATTTCTGAGGCTGCACATCTCTAAGGGAGCAGAAAGCCTCATCTTTCCACCTCAGAACAGCTGGTTGTCTCAACCTGCACTAGCCGTTCCCCTGTGTGGCACGAAGGTGTGAGCGGAGCCACTACGTGAAGCTGCCAAGGAAAGCCTTGGCAGTCTGCTCTCCTACAGGTGGTTGTGAATGGGTGTCATTGAGTCAATTTTCAATTCATAATCACCCCATGGAATAGAGTAGGACGGCCCCTAGAATTTTCTAGGCTGAAATCTGCACGGGGACAGATTAGCCCGATTTTGTTACTCAAGTCTCTGAGTGCATTTGAAACACCCACGTTTTGCTTAGCAGTCCAGCACTTAGCCAGAGGGCTTCTTCCCTAAAGATTGGCGCCAAGAAAATCCCGTGGAATCATCTCCTCTGCTACACACGGGTCACTATGAGTCAGGGTAGACTTGGTTCTGGCTGGTTTCACTTATGCTCGAATTAGGGAAAATTTCTCTCTTCAATATTCTGTCCCCCGCTTTTTATTGAGTAAAATACACAATAAGCTGCTTGTCTGTAAAAGCAGTGGAGTCATTGTGTAATCTTAGAAAACCGATCTCGGCAGACCAAAGTGACCCAACAAAATTAGACCTGTAACTTATTTTTAAACCTCAGTAGTCAATGTTATGCTGTATATGAAACAAAACACAACTCATTGGTCTTTATTTTTGTTTGTTTTTCCCCCAGGAGACTACACTTTAAAAGTTGACCTTGCTGATTTTGAAGAAAATAGCCGCTATGCACAATATAAAAATTTCAAAATAGCAGATGAAAAGGTATTACAAATTGTCAAATAAATAACAACATGAATTAAGGTTTAAATATGTATGTACAATGCAACCCTGACAGTAGTAGATATTAAAAAATACAATAAAATCTATTCTATTGCTTATTAAATGAACATATTTTTAAAATGTTGATTATTGATTGTAGAATTTGCCTGTTTTCCTTCAGAATTCTTATGAATTAAATATTGGGGAATATTCTGGAACAGCTGGAGACTCCCTTGCAGCAGACTTTCATCCTGAAGTTCAGTGGTGGGCCAGTCACCAAAGAATGAAATTCAGCACGTGGGACAAAGATAATGACAACTATGAAGGCAACTGTGCAGAGGAGGAGGAGTCCGGCTGGTGGTTCAACAGGTTTGAACTTTCATAAACCAAGTTATAATGGTGTTGATAAGATCTCACTCGGGCGTCTGGGGTCTTAAAGGCTTGAAGGTAATCAAGCGGCCATCAAGCTCAGAAGCAACAAAGCCCACATGGAAGAAGCACACCAGCCTATGCAACCACGAGGTGTCGAAGGGATCAGGTGTAAGGCATCATCAGAACAAAAAATCTTACCATAGTGAATGATGGGGGCAGTGTGGAGTGGAGATCCAAAGCCCATTAGTAGGCCACTGGAGATCCCCTTGCAGAGGGGTCTCGGGGAGGAGATGAGCCAGTCAGGGTGCGATGTAACAATGATGAGAAATACAACCTTCCTCTAGTTCCTAAAGGTTTCCTCCCCGCTCCCACTACCATGACTCGAATTCTATCTTGCAAGACTGGCTAGAGCAGAGGAGGTACACTGGTACAGATAGGAACTGAAAATACAGGGAATCCAGGATGGATGAGCCCTATAGGACCAGTGGTGTGAGTGGCAAAACAGGGAGGGTAAAGGGAGAATGGGTAGGAAAGAGGGAACCGATTACATGGAACTGTGTGTGACCTCCTCCCTGGGGGACAGACAACCGAAAAGTGGATGAAGGGAGAAGTCGGACAGGGCAAGATATGACAAGATACCCATTTATAAACTATCAAGGGCTCATGTGGGAGGGGGGAGCGGGGAGGGAGGGGAAAAATGAGGACCTAATGTCGGGGGTTTAAATGGAGAGAAAATGTTTTGAGAAATGATGTACAAATACGCTTTACACAATTGATGTGTGTATGGATTGGGATAACAGTTGTATGAGCCCCTAATAAAATGTTTTAAAAAAAAGAAAAACATATAGACCAGAAAAAAAAAAAAAAAAGATCTCACTCGGGGCATTAATTCTTACCTATGAGGTAATGTTGGTCTTATTTTTTAACACTAGCATAATCATCCTTATTTTAATTCTTCCTTGATGAAGTATTATTAAAACTTCATTCATTATTGAAAGATATGGCCTAGAAATGAAAACTTGTCAAGCGATAATAAAATTGTTACTTATACAAAGGGGTCTGCAAACTGAATTATGGGTAAAATATGCAGACCAGAAATGGACACAAAGAAACAGAGAGCAATTATAGATTCACAAACTATTGTGAGTATTCTAAGAACCAATTGCAGTCCCTGAGTGGAGCAAATACTCAATTTTCTCAGGTGTTAACTGAAAGATTGGACGTTCAAGTTCATTTAGAGCAGTGGTTCTCAACCTTCCTCCTGCCACACAGTTCCTCGTGTGGTGGTGACACCCCCCACACACACACCACCATAAAATTACTTAAGACTCAGACACCACAGAGCAGTTCTACTCTGACTTACTCGGTTACTGTGTGTCCGAACCGGCTCAATGGCAGTGGGAGGGTCTGGATGATGGGAATGGATCCCTAAGTTGCTTGTGATCCAAGCCAACCCCTTAGCATTTGGGCAGAAATGATATGCCCCTCTGGCTCAGTAACTTAGATGCTTTCCATAGCTTGTCAGAACAATCGCTTATGAATATCCTCCTGAGACCCTAATGTCTGTCATAATTCCATTGGCTATATCCATAAAGAAACGCATGATAACTAATTTTACAATAACACTACATTTTAAAAAAGCATTTTTATATGTAACTATTATTCGTTGAAAGCCAAAGACAAAATTAACATACTTCAATGGAAAACGTGGGTATTTAAAAATATGTGATAACATAACCAATCTATCTAGATTGTAGTAAAATATGTAAAATAAAATAGAACTGAGACACAGGATTATTGGTTGACAGCTAGGATGACTTTAATAGTGTTATTAACCCTTGAAATTAAATGAATGTATATTCTACTGGTTTATGAAGCGGATGAAAGGTGTTTGAATTACAAAAACCAGGTGTTGGCAGCTCCTGGGGGAAGCTGGAAGCGCACCTCTCTAGGGAAGGCACTAGTGCGCCATGCTCCATCCGTGCTGGTGAGCTCGTCCTCCCTCTCCGAGCACCAGCACTGTTCTCACTCAGAAAATATACGGTTGAAGGTCATGCAGTTGCATTGTTTGTTTGCTTGTTTTTCTTTCAGTTTAAAGGGTTTTTGGGCAGCAATGCTCGTTTTTCAATACACCACAAGAGGCCTGAGTTGTATCCTGAGACTTGCTACAACCTTAAAACCCACGATTTTTGGCTTTTGGAAACTATAAGCATTCCCCTATCTGAAAAATGGAAGAATTTATAACTTAAATGGTTTTGTTTGCCAGCAAAATACGTGGGGCTTCTGAAGGATTATTTTTGTCTGATAGTTTTTGCTTTCTCTTTTCTTCCACTAGGTGTCACTCTGCAAACCTGAACGGTTTATATTATGGTGGCCCCTACAGGGCGCACACGGATAATGGGGTCGTCTGGTACACCTGGCATGGATGGTGGTATTCCTTGAAGTCTGTGGTTATGAAGATTAGGCCAAACGACTTTATCCCAAATACGGTTTAACTCTCTTATTAGACTTTCACTTGAGTAGTTGTTTAAAATATTTGAAAAACAGCAATTCTGAACGCACATCTTTATGATGATGGCAATTGTTTCAGGTACAGTTTTTAATTTTTCTCATTTGTCCTTATTATATCGTGTGCTCTTTTCAGTGAGGCAAATAAAATAAAACTACTAAATAAATATTGGCAATATTAATATGCCTCCCATTCTTGTGTCCAGAGGGCAACGATCCACATTGGAGAAAAAGACACAAAAAAGCATACAATATACTCCTTAGCGTGGGGAGATAGCACAGCACAAATGCATAAAAAGACGAATATTCATGCAGTCAACAGAAACACATGACAAAATTCATCAAGAAACAGATTGGCTAATCAACAGTACAGATAATAACAGTTAGTTGTTTAGACTTGAAGTCAGATCTTAACTACAGGCCTGCAACTCTTATGGACAACCCAGGATCTTAATCATTGTCAAACACTCCATCAAATGTCTAGGATGTTTATGCAATCCTCATTTTACTTCTCATATCAACCCTGAGAGGTATTGTTATCCCTACTTCTCCAAATTGTGAATCTGGGATGTCGGAACTTGTTCAAAGTTAAAAATCTAGGAAATAGTGGGACAAGGATTTAAATCCAAGGTTTTTAAAAATAATTTTATTAGGGGCTCATACAGCTCTTATCACAATCCATACATACATCAATTGTGCAAAGCACATTTGTACATTCATTGCCCTCATCATTCTCAAAACACTTGCTGTTTGGGCACTCTCCTACATGTCCTACAGCTTCTCCTGGACTGGACTGAGACAGGGAGAGGGTTGAGGGAGAACTTTCCAGGTGAGAGAGAAAACTCAAGTAAAGGCAAGATAGTCCAAATACGATCCATTCAAGAGTCATCTTCAGGTCACGTGCAGGGACAGTGCAGTTTAAAGACAAGTACTAACCATATAACCACAAAAATATATGTAATTTAGAATGCTGATGTAAAGGAAAGCAAGCCATATGCGTGTGCTCGAGAAATATATAGCAGGATGATCTGATTTCGTTTGGGGGGAGGGAATGTGAAAGTTATGCCGCTGGAAATTTATGCAGAAGCAAAATCATGCTAAGGAGGAGTTTTGTCCTGAGAGCAATGAGTTGTCACTGGGGTTTCTCCTTTATAACATTTTCTTTTCCCCAGTCTACTCCATCAGCACACTCTTTTCTTATTCTCCAATCCTATTGAATTTACAGTTCCTCAGATTGGCTTTTTCCTCCAGTTTTGCCCCCAGGGTCCCCTTTGTCCTCATCCAAACCCCGTGCTGCAGCCAGAGTACACATTCTGAAATAAGTAATTCTTAGCGATTCCATCACACTCCATAAAAGTCCCTCCTCGGACTTCAGCATGCACATTGGCATATGAAGTAAGTGAGAACTGTGCAAAGGAAGAGATCTGTTGGATTTTGTTTAATATAACACCTCCCAAACTTATCCTAAGGCACCCCGAGGGCATAATGCATTAAGCATTGGGCTGCTACCCAAAGGTCTGGTAGTTCAAACCACCAGCTTCTTTGCGAAAGAAACCCTATGGAACAGCTGGACTTTATTCGATAGGGTCTTCATGAGTTGGAATCCACTCAACGGCAGTGGAATAGGAAAATGTATTTGATCAAGAGTCCTACTTCTTGCCGTATGACCTCTATATCTCCCATCAAGTTCTAAGAGGGACATTTAATTTTCAAAAATTAAATGAGAAGATAATCCTGGGGCCCTAACGCAGTCAAATTTCAATTGTGAGGTTGACGCAGGACTGGGCCGTGTGTCCTTCTGAGTCCGAACCTACTTGACAGCTCCTAACAGTACCAACCTCATCCTGGGCCATCCTCACACACATCATTATACCTGAGCCCCTTGTTGAAGTCACTGTATCAACCCATCTTGTCAAGAGTCTGCCTCTTCTTTGCTGAGGCATGATGCTCTTCTCCAGGGACTGGTGCCTCCTGATAACATGTCCAAAGTAGGTGTGATTAGTGCTCATCATCTTTGCTTCTAGGGAGCCTATATGATAACGTTCTGTTTATTAAAACGCCTCCCAAGGTGATCCTCCACCGAGTCTTGCCTAGTCTTATGTCTAGCTGCTCCTCTCATCGCCACCGCCGTCTCCTCACCGACTTCCCTACAGTTCCCTATAAGCCCCCCCCCCATCCCCTGCCTCCAGTCTTGCCCCCAGTCGCCCTTTTGTCCTCAACCAAGCCCCGCGCTGCAGCCTGAGCACTCATTCTGGAATATGTAATTCATAGTGATTCCATCACGCGCTGGGTTTAAACCTCCTCAACGACAACCCATTCCTCTCAGGACAAAATTCCTTAGCATGATTTTGCTCCTGCCTACCTTTCCAGCCTCAAAACGTTCTCCCTTATAGTATTTCCTTTTTCCCATTCTACTGCTCCAGCACACTCTCCCTATTCTCCAACCACATTGAAAATACAGCTCCTGAGCCGATACGTTCTTTCATGCTTCTACACATGCTCTCAGGAGGATGGACTGCTTTGCCTCCTCACACTTGTGCTCATTCTTTAGGTTTAAAGTCAGTGACCACTTGCTCCAAAGAGCCTGGCTAGGGGTCTTCCTATGTGTTTAGCAAGCACCCTGGACTTACTCCTCATACTGCACCTTATGTACCTATGACAAAGGTCTCTTTATTATTTTTAGTCTCCACTGGATTACTCACAGTGTATCACCAGCTCCCAGGACAGGGCCTGGCACAAGGCAGGATGTCAAATCTTTTTGACGGACTGAAGAAGTAAATGGAGGAAGGAAGAATGTAATGGCTGTAATTGCCCTATGGGAACAGTCCACTCCATTTGGTATTGCAGAATTCATAGCCACTGGTTACTTTGACAAGAATCAAAACACTGAACCTTGTAAAATAAGGTCCTTCAAATAATGCCATATTTAGGCTGTCATTTATTCTTTATCTCTTATTTCCTCATCGCTGGTAAGGAATCTTCCAGCAATATTAGATGATGTTGTCTGTGTATAGTGTGAAGATTTTGTGAGTGCTTTTTCAGGACGATGAAAGGCAGATTATACTCCCCGCTTTATGTTCTAAAACAACAATGGTATATTTTGTATTTATGTGGAAAACTGTACTGTATAACAGAGGTTATCTTTAGGAACTGGGATTGGAGATGGGGCAAAAGAAATTATTTCCTTTTATGTTTTATGTTTAAAACTTTATGAAAAATTTTCTCAGGTATATATTGTGCCTATTGAATAACAATATCCCTCTGATGAGCTAGATGAAATAAAAAATACCCTCTAGTAGTAAGTAAACAAAACAAGTGACTTTAAAGATACTATATCATGAAGCACAATATATATAGGTTTGAAATTTTAGTTCATCACAAAAAATTGAAATGAAATCACTATGGGGCCATAAGCTGTCTAATATGGTGCCACCCAGCCACATGTGGTGACTGAACATTTGCGCAGGGACTGATCTCTCCTTATATCATGTCCAAAGTATGTAACATGAAGTCTTGCCATCCCTGCCTCTTAGGAGCACTCTGGCCATACTTTGTCCAAGACCAATTTGGTTTTCCTTTTGACAGTCCATGATACTTTCAATATTCATCCCCAGAACCTCAATTCTTCTTTGGTCTTCCTTATTCAATGTCCAACTTTCACATGCATATGAGGCAATTGAAAATACTGTGGCTTGGTTCAGGCACACCTTAGTCTTTAAAGTAACATCCTTGCTTTTCAATACTCTAAAGAGATCTTGTGCAGTAGATTGACCTAATGCAATATGTCTTTGGATCTCTTGACCGCTGCAAGCAAGACAGAATCCTTGGCAGCTTCAATCATTTGTCCACTTACCATGATGTTACCAATCAGTCCAGTTGTAAGGATTTTGGTCTTCTTCACTTTGGACAAGATCAGTTGACAGAGTGGCTGCAAAATTGGGCTCAACCATAAGAATAATTGTGAGGATGGTCCAGAACTGTGAGGTGTTTCTGTTGTACATAGGGCCACTGAGTCAGAACCGACATGATGGCACCTAACAAGCACTACGATTATAGGACTGTGTATGTAACAGTATTCACCCGCATCATCTTTTATGGACCTTCCAATGACTGCTTTTGTCATTGGTCGTGTTGAGCTGTGCCCCATTGATTGAATATTTCCTTTCCCTTCACTCAGGTTGCTTGGCTCAACACTTGTCTTCTCTCTAGTGATTTACTCTACTCGACCTTCCCATTCCCAGTCATAGTCATCCAAGAATGGTTCTTTGTGTGCAACCCTTTCTCTGACTTTCCTTTCTTTGTTTGTGAACTTGGCTGGGGAGTTGACTCCTATAAAACAGGCACACACACTCACAATTAATTTATGGACAATATGGAAGCTGTGATCAAAATGTCACTCTAAACAAAGACTCTTAATATAAAATCATGCAAAAATAGGTTTACCCGGATTTTTTTTAAAGGCCAGATATCCTTTCACCGCTTTTCTTTGGGGTTAAATTTTTTTCTGAGTTAATCAACACAGCAGGAGAAATGTGGACATAATTTGAATTCTTATTTCAACGAATGTCTTTTCTTGGAGAACAGATTGTGTCTCTGTAATATAAACTGAAACACCCAGAGACATGCAGTTTGACTCTAGGAATTAAATAGTTTGTTTTCTGACTTTTGCTGCGTTCTAACTGCTGGGAGGCGAGCTGAAAGACGAAGCTGTGCGAAGCGCTGAGCACTGGAAACGCGATAGAACCTCTGTGAGATTTACCACTGGTTACGATGGACCAGAATGACTCAAAGGCAATGGTAACTTTTGGAAATCTTATTTTAAAAATTAAAATTTTTATTTTAATCTAACCAGAATGCCCTTATGATATCAGATGGTTGCTCTTCCCTGGTATAAAAGCAAGACACATGATTGCATAGTTTCTTTTTCAGTTGATTATAAACTGATCTCATACAAAGCTTCAAAATGCAGAGATGAGTAAGAAAAAAACCCAAAGAACACTATTCATCAAATGGAGCCAAAAGCTATTAACCTTTTGTGATATATCTTTGTCTTATTTCAGATTTTGTTCATAATCATTAAAATCACAACATAGAAAGTCATAGGTTGCTTTTTTTTACTATAATAATTTAGCCACATTCTAAAATTACTGAAATATCTTTTCATACATAATTTTAAAGGGTC